GAGACATACTGAATACAAAGGGCTGAAATAAATGAGTAATCATTAACATAAAATAATAGGACATTTTAATAAAAATTAGTATTTTTTTCTTGGACATTAACTTAACAGGCACTGAACAACTGCACAAATTAATAAGTGTAATACAAGTAAACCTATTTTTCTTGTTCTCTGAAAGCAAAATATTTTCTGTTGCGTACACCAAAGAAGTCAGTATAAGACTAATGACGTGGCCTTAGCTGGTTTGGCTCAGTCAGCCTGCAGTCTGAAAGGTCCCAGATTCCAGTTAAGGGCACATGCCTGGGTTGTGCTCTGGATCCCCAATAGGGGGCATGCAGAAGGCAGCCAATCAATGATTTCTTCTCATCATTAATGTTTCTATCTCTCTCTTCCTCTCCTACCTCTCTAAAATCAATTAAAAAAATTTTTTTTTTCTTAAAAGACTAATGACGCCCTAGCTGGTTTGGCTCAGTGGATAGAGCATCAGCCTGCAGACTGAAGGGTCTCAGGTTCGATTGCGGTAAAGGGCACATGCCTGGGATAGGGGGCAAGCAGGAGGCAGCCGATCAATGATTCTCTCTTGTCATTGATGTTTCTATCTTTCCCTCTCCCTTCCTCCCTGAAATCAATAAAAATACATTTTTTTTACAGTTTTTTTAAAAATATATTTTATTGATTTTGTACAGAGAGGAAAGGAGAGAGATACAGAGTTAGAAACATCAATGAGAGAGAGTCATCGATCAGCTGCCTCTTGCACACCCCCCACTGGGGATATGCCCGCAACCAAGGTACATGCCCTTGACCGGAATCGAACCCGGGTCCCTTCATTCCCCAAGCCGACGCTCCATCCACTGAGCCAAACCGGTCCCGGCCATTTTTTTTTTAAAAAAGACTAATGACAAGGCAGTTGTCTGTGAAAATATTTGCTGCTAGTATTAGTGGAGAGAAATGACGCTCCTGCACGTAAGATGCGTGAGGGAAATGAATGCAACATGAATATGGTAGTCAATCATGAGGGAACATTGTAGTTCATTATTAACAATTATGTATAACAGGATATTGTAAAAATTAAGTTGAATTTTTATTAAAACATTTCTTACATATTGTTATATTGGCTGAGCCACAAACATATTTGTGTGGGCTATGAACCATGAGTTTGACATGCTTGCTGTAGAATAAGGCACAGGAATCTGCAAATGGTAGGTTCTCAAAGTGATTCCAATAAGCACTAAAATTTGAGAACTATATAATTGATTCTCTTTTGCTCATTTCACATAACAAAAATAACATGGCCAGATCAATAAATGACTGTCCCAAGTTCATACTGCTGACCAGCAGACCCTGAGTGACATACGAACAGATTACCCTGACACAGGTTTTGGTAAAAGAGAGGCTGAGGAAGGGTAGGTGGGATGTGGTTGGGTGGGATGATTATTCACTTGGGAAGTTATTCAAAAGTTGGACTGGAGAGGATGACTGTGGTCCAAATTCTTTAATAAATGTGCCGATAGTGTATGAGGTCAGTTAAGAACATAGTAAGGAGGAGAAGAAGGTAGAATACCCAGTGCTTCCCAAATGTAAATATACTTATGAACTATTTGAGGATCTTGTTAAAAATGGAGATTTTTATTCAGTAGTTCTGGAATGAAGACCAAGATTCTACATTTCTAATAAACCCTTAGGTGATGATGAAGTTACTGGTCCATGGAGCATACTTTGAATGACAAAGGTATAAGTCTCTGGTGGTCAAACTTAGCTACACATCAGACTTTCCTGAATATTTGAGTCCCTTGTTCAGACACTCTGACTGAATTGTTATTGAGTATGACCTGTATATCAGGACATTCAAAAGCTCAGTGAATTCTAAGGTAAAATGCAGTTTGAGAACCATTAATGTAGATAGGCTGATTAGGTCAGGGCTGAGGTGACAATAGGAATAAGTAAATCTGACTCCACTCTGGATCTCCTGGTACAAGATGTTGGGGAAAAAGGACACAAAATTCTCTATTGGGAAAAATCTGGACTCAATTAAGACAAAAGTAGAAGGAAATTGCAAAGGAAGGATGGGAAATGTGAGGGACTTCAACTTGGGTTGAAGGAGGGCAGGAATGAGTTTTTCCAAGTTACAAGGGGGGGGGGGTGGTTTGGAGGTCTTTTGATGCCTACTGACTACTGTCTTTGCTGGGCTTTCCACTGGAATGTTTTTGAGCAAGTCTCTTTGCATCTCCAAAGAGTGTCCTCAGCTTTTCCAGGATGGAGTAGGCCAGCTATTCCTTTTTAAATTATTATTATTTTCATTTTTAATCTTTATTGTTCAGATTATTGCAATTGTTCCTCTTTTTTTCCCCCATACCTCTCCTCCACAAGGTTCCCACCCCACCCTCTGCCCTTAACCCTTGCCACACTGTCCTCATCCATAGGTGTACAATTTTTGTCCAGTCTCTTCCCGCATCCCCACATCCCTTTCCCCCTGAGAATTGTTAGTCCACTCCCTTTCTATGCCCCTGATTCTATTATATTCACCAGTTATTCTGTTCATCAGATTTTTTATCCACTTGATTTTTAGATTCATTTGTTGATAGATATGTACTTGTTGTTCATAATTTTATCTTTACCTTTTTCTTCTTCCTGTTCTTAAATAATACCTTTCAGCATTTCATATATTACTGGTTTGGTTGTGATGAACTCCTTTAGCTTTTTCTTATCTGTGAAGCTCTTTATCTGGCCTTCAATTATGAATGATAGCTCTGTTGTGTAGAGTAATCTTGGTTGTAGGTTCTTGTTATTCATCACTTGGAATATTTCTTGCCACTCCCGTTTGGCCTGCATAGTTTCTGTTGAGAAATTAGCTGACAATTGTATGGGTCCTCCCTTGTAGGTAACTAACTGTTTTTATCTTGCTGCTTTTAATATTCTCTCTTTTTCTTTTGCTCTTGACATTTTAATTCTGATGTGTCTTGGTGTGGTCCTCTTTGGATTCCTTTTGTTTGGGGTTCTCTGCACTTCCTGGACTTGTAAGTCTATTTGTTTCACCAGGTGGGGGGAATTTTCTGTCATTATTTCTTCAAATAGGTTTTCAATATCTTTCTCTCTTCTTCTGGCACCCCATAATTCTGATGTTGGTATGCTTGAAGTTGTCCCAGAGGCTCCTTACACTATCTTCAAATTTTTTTCTTCTTTTTCCTTTTTGCTTTTCTGTTTGAGTGTTTTTGCTTCTTTGTATTTCAAATCTTTGACTTGATTCTTGCAATCCTCTGTTCAATCTTTGTATATTATTTTTTATTTCAGTCAGTGCATGTTTAATTTCTAGCTGGTCCTTTTTCATATTCTCAAGGGTCTCGCTAAATTTATTGGCCTTTTCTAGAAAATTCTTGAAAAATCTTATAACCGTGGTTTTGAACTCTATCTAGTAGTTTGATTTCCTCCATTACTTTCATTTGTGACCTGTTTCTTTGTCTCTGCATTTTGGCTGCTTCCCTGAGTAGATAGAGTAGCCTTGTGTGCTAGGAGTCTTATAGAGCCGAGTGACTCAGCCTCCCCAGTTACTTGAAGTGGACATTCTTGGTGCACCCCTCTGTGGGCTATGTGCACAGTCTTGTTGTAGTTAAGCCTTAATTGTTGTTGGTGTCACTTGGAGGAATTGACCTCCAGGCCAATTGGCTGTGAGGATCAACTGTGTCTACAATGGGAGAACTTCTGTGCTGGAGACACCCTTATGAGATAAGACTTGCTTCAGTGGGGCTTTTTGCTCACTGAGTCTTTCCCCTGAGTGTGTCCCTTATGGATCTGAGGAGTTGTAATCTGGATGGTCCCACTCTGATCCCTGGGTACACTGGCTCTTGGATCTCCAAGGTGGTGCTAATTTATCCTCTGCCTGAGGCCACCCAGCAGGAGATACAGAGATATCTATAGATTTATCTTCTTTGGGTTTTGGTGGTGCCCAGATGAGGCCCAGCTGTGAAGCAATGCAAGCTTCTGTGGGGCCTTGCACATTCTTTTGGATGTTCTGGGTCTCACTGACTCAGCTGCAGTTTGTTAGGTAAGTTTAGAATTCAAAAGACCAGGTCATTCATATGCAAAAGCCTCTTTGCTCAGCTTGGATGGGGCAGAGTCTCAGGGTGGAGCAAACAGCTATGGCTTCATGGGGCAGGATCTCAGGGCGGAGCATACAGCAATGGCTTCCTGTCAGCCCTGCCCTAAAAGGCCCTGGGTCTCAGTGTCCCTCAGTAATTGCTGCAATCACCTCTGAGAGAAAGCCGCCCTCAAGTTTTCTCTGCTGCCAGACAGTCCAGTTTCTCCCTGTATGAGTCTAGGTCCCCAGAGTCTCACCTGGAACTGAAGTTCAGAGCAGTCAGGATCTTGTGTCTCCCTTCCGATTTAAAAAGCCAACCGAGGCCGAGATCGGTTTGGCTCAGTGGATAGAGCGTCGGCTTGGGGACTGAAAGGTCCCGGGTTCGATTCTGGTCAAGGGCATGTACCTTGGTTGCGGGCGCATCCCCAGTAGGGGGTGTGCAAGAGGCAGCTGATCGATGACTCTCATCGATGTTTCTAACTATCTCTCTCCCTTCCTCTCTGTACAAAATCAATAAAATATATTTTAAAAAAAACAATAAAAAAATAAAAAGCCAACCAAGTACTCAGTTGCAAGCCCTCTCTGCATGCGTGTGCCTCAGTACCTCTGCCTTCCACAGTTCCTGTGAGTCTCAGTGTGCTTTTCTCTTTCCTTCTAGTTGTAGAATTTCCACTCAGCCTGTGGTTCTGGATGATGTCAGTTTTGTTCTTTAGTTGTACTTTTGAAATTGTTGTGCAAGGCAGCAGTTTAGGTGTTTACCTTTGCCGCCATCTTGGTCCTCCCCCCCCCCTTTTTTAAACAGACTTTGGATTTGTGCAACTAGAGTGGCCTGAGCATCAAGAGCTCTCTCCCCAATGTCTGGTTATTAATAATTATTGGATACCTGCTTGTGATGTATATGAAGTAATTGATTTTTATATCTTTTCTCCAGATATTATAATAAAAACAAATGGCAGGATGTAGCAGCTGTGGCTGAATTTTCAGTACTTTGAAGACAGGAATCTGAAGTCAAAGTCCATAAAGCAGAATGTCTGCCTGAAATTATATGAAATTCAAAAATCAAAATTCTCTATTTGTGATAATATTCTGGTGTTAAAATTCTACTGAGATTTTTATAACTTACTATTAATCAGTTAAGAAAGAAACTGTATGCTTCTTAAATATATGTATTTGTATTGTAAAATAAGAAAAAATAACTTATATTATAGGACTGCACATTAGATGATTTCAACTATTTATAAAGAGCTAATGCCAGAGCTCTATGTAACTTCCTTTGATTGTTTTTTCCTTTGTATCAATTTAAATTAGTAAAGTTGTTAAAATCCTAAAAGTGAAAATGTTTATATTATGAACTATTTTTAACAGAATTTAATTGGAACTATGTGAGCAAGAGACCTAAAAGAAATTCTAGGTTTGACTGAAAGAAATTCTACACTCAAGGTTTGCTGAAGCAAGGAATGTATATATACAATAAATCATACACTAAATATTTTACATATTACCTCATCCCCACACAACCTTATTTAGCTAATTCTATATGTAGGATTTAAAAAAAAAATAATTAACTTGTCACATTTCAACAATGTCCTTCTTACAAAGAAGATATTCTGTTGTCAGTTAACAAAGTACAGTTGTAGAACTGTTAGTGAAATTTTAACTCTGACGGTTTTACTAATGTTACTGTACATAAGAGTAAAACTTTCAAAGTTGCTTCCATAAGAATGAAAATTCTAAAATCAATGGATTAATTTGAGGGTATGTAACCTATATATTATAGTATTTATTTTTAAACGAGTCACATAAAGATATTCTTGTACATGATTTGACAAGGCCTTAAGCTAATAACAAACTATAATTTTTGTTTACATTTTCATCTGCAGATGAAATATGAGATAGTAGTTAGGAAATGAAAAAGAGATCATTAAAGATGGTGGCTAGAACCAAATTCTGATCTGAATTCTAAATTAGTATTCAACTAAGTCATTAACTCTTGTGGTAATTTTGATAGCAAAAATGTGATAAGCAATGGGAGAAGGAGAAACTAAGTAAAAGGTCAGTTTCCTGCCTTCAAGGAGCTTATAATCCAAGGGCAAGGGGAAAGAATGAGAACAGATTATTTGATAGTTTAATCAGGTGGTAGATTCTTATGAGAAAGAATGATACCTGATTCTTAGACTGAGCCTAATGAGGCTGGAGGATATAAACATTTGAGAGTCTCATGTTGCTGTTAAGGAAAATACAGCTCAGAGAAATAAATAGTTGGCCAGGATCATGTAATTTAGAAAGTGACAGAGCCAGGATTTGAAAGCAGGACTATGTAAGTCCAATATTTTTTGTTTGTTTTTGTATTATCAGCTAGAGCACAGGAAAAGGTGTGAAGAAGGAAGGAATTACAATTGGTGTTTAAGGCTTAGGAGTGGAGGATATAACTTTAATTATGATTAAACTGAAGGAAAGTAGAATATGCCTGCTTACTGTTTGGCATATGTGAGAAGTCAAAGAGGATTCCTGCTGGCAAATCCTAGGAGAAGGTGTACTCTTACCTCATACCTTTGGGTAGATCTCAGAGGTCTTTCAGTGAGTTTCCTTGGAAGAGCATAAGAAAAAGGAGTTCATTTCTTTCTGCATGTTCTAATCACATTTTCAAAATTGTTTTTTTGATCATTATAAGGTCAACATTGGGACTGGACCCCTTTACTTCAGCATATAACTAATTAAACTTAATTTTTAAGCATTTAAAATTATAGTTCCAAATTATACTTCTTGAAAATAATCTCAGAACATAAGTACCCTGAAAATTCAATTAAAAATGTGTGAAAGGCCGAAACTGGTTTGGTTCAATGGATAGAGTGTTGGTCTGTGGACTGAGGGGTCCCAGGTTCAATTCCAGTCAAGGACATGTACATTGGTTGTGGGCACATCCCCAGTGGGGGGTGTGCAGAAGGCAGCTGATCGATGTTTCTCTCTCATTGATGTTTCTGGCTCTCTGTCCCTCTCCCTTCCTCTCTGTAAAAAAATCAATAATATATATATATAATTTTAAAATGTGAAAGGCCAGGCATGATGTAATTTCCATTTTTAAATATTTTAAAAATAATTAACTACAGTTGACATACAATATTAGTTTCAGGTGTAGAGCATAGTGATTACACATTTACATAACCTAAAAAGTTGTCATCCTGATAAATCTAGCATCCATATGACACCATACATAGTTATTATATTACTAGAGGCCTGGTGCACAAAATTTGTGCGCTGGGGGTGGGGGATGTCCCTCAGCCCAGCCTGCATCCTCTCCAATCTGGGATCCCTCTCACAATTCAGGACTGCTGGCTCCCAACCGCTTGCCTGCCTGCCTTATTGCCCCTATCCACTTCTGCCTGATCACCTCCTAATAACTCCCCTGCCAGCCTGACTGATGCCTAACTGCTCCTCTGCTGGCCCAGTAACCTGTAACTGCCCTCCCCTGCAGGCTGGTCACCCCTAACTGCCCTTTCCTACAGGCCTGGTCCCCCCCAACTGCCCCTCCTCTGCCTGCTTGGTCACCCCTAACTGCCCTCATTTGCTGGTCTGATCGCCCACAACTGCCCTCCCCTGATGGCCTGGTCACCCCTAACTGCCCCCCCCCCCGCTTGTCTGATCACCCACAACTACCCTCCCCTGTAGGCCATCTTGTGGTGGCCATCTTATGTCCACATGGGACAGCCATCTTTAAGGTCATTTTGTGTGTTGGAGTGATGGTCAATTTGCATATTATTCTTTTATTAGATAGGATTATTATAATCCCTATGCTATACTTTACATGCCTATGACTATTTTGTAATTATCAATTATACTTTTTAATTCCCTTTTTTCATCTACCTTCCCATCACCTTCCCATCTGGAAACCATAAAAATATTCTCTGTATCTATGAGTTTGTTTCTGTTTTTTTTTCTTCATTTATTTTTATTTTGTCAAGAAAAAGTTAAAGGAGTTCATCACCATCAAGCTGTATTACAAAAATGTTAAAGATAAAAATATGAATAAAATAGCAATAACTATATACCTATCAACAATTACTTTAAATATAAATAGATTAAATGTCCCAATAAAAAGACATAGAATGGATAAGAAAACAAAACACTTTCATATGGTGCCAACAGGAGACTCACTTCAAAACAAACTTGAAAACAAAGGCTACAGGCCAGCTAGTGTGGCTCAGTGGTTGAGCAACTCGTGAACCAAGAGGCAGCTGATCAATGATTCTCTCTCATCATTGATGTTTCTCTCTCATTCTCCCTTCCTCTCTGAAATCACAATTTCAGTTTTATTGCCAATCTTTCCTATATCTGGTAACCAGGAGAGTCTGCCCAGTCTTTTATGCTATTGGAAGCAAGTGGACAGAGACCCAGAGGCTCTTGGAGTTGTGGGGGAGGCTAAATATTCTACTCCTGTGTGGGCCTTGGATACGTGGAACAGACGGACAGCTGTCAGGAGGCGGGGAGGAGAGGACTGGATGAAAGAAGGTGAAGGGATTAGCCAAATAACATGTGTATAACCCATAGATACAGACAACAGTGTGGTGAGGGCCAGAGCAAAGGGGTGGTGGGGGCTAGGTGGACTTGGGCAAAGGGGTAGGAGGAAATGGGAACATCTATAATGTCAACAAGAAAAATAAAAAACGAATTATAAACTAAAAAAAAAAGAGGATAGGTCTTATGTCTAATCTTTCTAACTCAACAGTTCCACATTCATATAACATTAATAATAATTATTTTTTCCCCTCACATTTTCTCCTACTTGACTCCCTAAACTTAAAAAGGCATCTTTAAGACACCTCCGCCTCTTTGGGGAAAGAAGTAGTGTTAAGTAAAAAGAAAAATATATACTCCATTATTATTATTTTTAAAATATATTTTATTGATTTTTTTACAGAGAGGATGAGAGAGAATCATCGATCAGCTGCCTCTTGCACACCCCCTACTGGGGATGTGCCTGCAACTAAGGTACATGCCCTTGACTGGAATGGAACCTGGGATCTTTCAGTCCGCAGGCCGACGCTCTTTCCTCTGAGCCAAACCGGTTTCGGCTATACCCTATTATTAAACTTGAAAATATTTCCCATTTAATCTGCATAATTAAGTATAGTTTTATGTCTTGTCGGTGGCGGGTGTCATGGCAGGATCCTCCATCAGGCCCCAGGAGCCAGCCCCGCGCTGTCAAGCTCTGAGTCCACACTTCCCGTGACGGTGCCTGAGGCCGCGGGCTCCGGCCCGAGGGTTACGCCCGCGCGCGCTCTCTGCTCCGCGGGCCGTGGACTCCACCCGGCGCCCCACGGAGGTGCGAAGCCCTGGGGGCTGAGATGAGGATGAAGAGGGAGGGCTGACTGTCCCGAGGCCGAGGGTGAAGGGAGCCGAAAGCGTCTGCACCCCAAAGTCCCCGGCGTCCTCCCCGCGCCGCCCGCCCGCCGGGGGCCTCACATAGCAACTGACAGAATCACGGAGGAACCGGACCCGCGCGCATCCCATGCTCGGCTTCCCCTGCCACCCCTTCTCCCTGCCCTGCCCCACCCTTCTGCGTCCTCCCCTGCCGCGCCCCGCCCCTCCTCCCCTCCAGCTTCCGCGCACGCCCCGCCCCGTGAGCTGCCACGTGAGGGCGTCTGCTCCCCAGCCAATGGGCGCCAGCCCCGCCCCACGCCCCCACCTGGCCCCCCGCCCCGCGCGCCGCCACGTGACGCGGCGCCCTGCCAGCCAATGAGCGCGGGCCTCGCCTCGCGCCCCGCCCCGCGCGCCGTGGCCGTTTGAAGTGACTAATTTCTGTCATATGACTGAGGCGCCCATGGGGGTGGCAGGGCGGCTCTAGGAGCGGGGGGCCTCGCCAGGAGCGACCCCGGTTTGGCCGCGGCTAGCATGGCTCCTACGCTGTTCCAGAAGCTCTTCAGCAAGAGGAACGGGGCGGGCGCGCCCGGTCGGGACGCGCGGGACCCGGATTGCGCGTTCAGGTAGGGCGCTGCGGGGCTGGGGGGCGCTGAGCCGACGGCCCGGTGGCTCCGGGCACCCGATGCGCCGGGCCAGTCGGTGTCCACGTCCACGCGGCGGCGCGGTGTCGGGAGTGGGGCCCGGGCCGCGGCCGGAGGGGCCAGGCGGCGGCGGCGGGCCTGCGCTGGAGGGTCCGAGCTTGGTCCTCTCTCCCCACCCCCCACCCCGGGGCGCCCCTTCCCTTTCCTCCGGGCCGGTTTGTTTACGTCCGGCGCTGCAGCGACGCGCGGCGCCTCTGCCCCTCCGACCCCGGCCCCGCGGCCTGGACCCTGAACGCAGGGTCCTGGACACGCTTTCCTGGCGGCGAGCGGAGTTGGGCGCGGGTTGGGTTGGACCTCAGCCGCCGTCCTCCAGGCGAAGTCCTCCCCTCCTCCCCGTGACCAGTCGCCCTCTGGGTGCTCCGTTCCAGCTGGGCTGGTGGGGTGGGGAGAGCTGCACGTTTTGGCCGACCCGTCTGAGGGCAGGGGAGGCCGGAGGAGTGAGTGGGCAAGGCGCAGTCCTTGCAGGTTTCTTGGAAACTAAAATTGGAACTAAAATGGGAGGTGTGCGGTTACCGGGCTGAGAGCGGCATTCATGTTTTCGAAGGAAAAAATGTGAAACCAAAGAGATGGTTACTACTGACCACAGGCTGAAGCTGGACCGAGTCAAATGAAGCGTGGCGGTGGAAAAGGATCATAGAATCATCCCCATTTAGAGCGGTTACTAAAAAGGAATCGTTAAAAATGGAAAACGACAGCAAAATATGTTGTGATACGACGGGCTTTGCTAATTTTTTTTTTTTTTTTTTGCTGCAAAACCTGTTGCTGATAGAGAAACTTTTTTAAATTGTCGGGCCATGTAATAAAAACCCGAGTTCAAGGTGGAATTTGGTCGCCAGTCTGCATTTGAAGAAGAGATTACGTCTTTCAAAACAGCTTTCATACTTGTGCGGTGTGGAAACTTGTATATATAGCTAGGCTAAATGTCAAATATCACTCATACCTGGTAGGATAGTGGAGAACCCCGTTGTGCAGCGGTAGTAGGAAAAAATGAGAATCTGTTAGATTCTTGCCACTGGCGAAAGTGAGAAATGACTACATTGGCTTAAAAGTTTTGATGTTAAGATTATTCACTCTTGCTAATGCAGGTTACATTAGTAAAATATTCAGGAATACATGTGGAATTGAATTAGTAGATGGAAAACTATAACTGACTTTAGGGGAAGAAAAATTTCAGTTGTGAATATTTTGGAAAAGTGCTCAACATCACTTTTCTAGGTTTTGGCCTTTTCCACTGGGAAACAGATGTATTACCAGAGTCATTTATTGACTTAAAAAAAAAATCCTTTAGTGTTTTCTTTTTGAAAAATGAAAGTGCAGTCTAGATAACACTGCATTGAGTTGTCCAGTAAATCAAGCAGGTTTAGGAAGCATATTAAAAAAGTGACCATTGTATAGGCTTTCTATTTCTGGGCAAAGACTGACTTTAGGATACTCAAGTTTCCAAGCGTCTCAAATCATTCATGTGAAAAAAAACATTTTCATGTCTGTTTTCTAAAAAACGTGAAGTCTACTATAAAGTTGTGTAATACTACTTTAGAGTTGCCAAAGCACTTTCTCAGTAGTTATCTCGTGTGGTATTTCACAACCACCTTGTGAGATAGGACAAGGAGCAGTATAGGTAACTACAGGGTCCTTTTTTTAGTGGAAGTAAGAATTATGTGTAAGCCTGCATATACATACTGTATAACTGCAGTATAATAAAGAAATGATTGCTTTCAAAATAAAGTGAGTATGAGTGTACTTGTGAGAAAATAAAAACTGGTTAATGTCACAGAGCTAGTAACCTGCAGATCTAATTAACCCACATCTTTTTAAAAACAATTTCATTGACCTGTAATTTACATACAATAAAACAGCCTTTTCAAGTACATTATGACTTGTATACAGTTATGTACCCACCACCTGTGAAGTTTTGGAACACTGGCCTCACCCAAAGAGTTCCCTCTTGCCCCTTTGCAGTCAGTCCTTAACTCCTCACCTAGGGCAGTCACTGATCCGCTTTTTGTGTAATGACAAGTTTTGACTTTTTTAAAATTTCATATGAATGTAATCATAGTGGTAATCAGGCTTGGACACAATTAACCATTAGTAACTAACTGTACCCTAACCTCTAAGAGATCAGTTCCTAGAGGAACTAATATAGTACTAGGCCCATTGGTGATAAGCTGCAATAGGACTCTGATAGGAGAGACTTTGATAAAGAAGCCTTGGTAGCCTTTTAATATTGTCTTTCATGGTTAACCCATTGGAAAAGATGGTTAGGGGTTATCCCATTCCCTTCAGTCTTCTTGACTCTTAACGCCCTTCTTGCTTGTTTTATATAAGCTACTTTGAGATGGAGGTGAGTGTGAAGGGTGTCACTGGGGGGATATTCCAATCTTTTATAGAATTAAAACAATAGTTTGTTTTTATCCCATAAGGAATTTTGGGTAGAAGGTGCATTTTAGAAGGCATTGCTTTATGTTTTCTCCATCAGTCTGCTTTCCAGTGGAAGTAAGAATTAAGTGTAAGCGCAGTAACTACAGAACATATGAAATGATTGTTTTAAAAGTAAAATTCTTGGGAAAAAGTTTATTTTGCTGAAGAAGGTTGTTTCATAGTTAAATGTCTGGAGGACATATTTCATGTTTTGTTCAAACACAATTTCTATATTTTTGTTCTATTCCTATTGCATCAGGAAGGAATTAGCAGGAATTCTTAACCTGTTGCAACAACCTAATTGGTCTTTGCCATCACTTTTGCCTTTCTCCAAACTATTCTCAATACTTAAAAAAGTGATTCTGATCATGATCAGCAGGCAAAATGGTATAGAAGTTAATATCTTCATTTCAGTTATTTTAAGAATTTAGAGAGATAAGTTACATTAAGTACTTAATGCAGTGCTTGCCACATGGCTTTCAGGAACCAGAAGTAGTTGTTATATGATGATCTCATGCTTATGTAAAACTATTCAGTTTAGGTCCAAACTCCTTCAAGTGGTCCTGTATGATGGTGTGTGGCTTTTCCGAAGTCTCTAGTCTTGACTTTAAAAAAAATTTCTATAAATAATTTTTTTAAAAACAGCCATTATTCTATTATATTATACTTAATAAATTTTAGATATTCTTTTTAAAAAAATATATATATTTTATTGATTTTTTACAGAGAGGAAGGGAGAAGGATAGAGAGTTAGAAACATCGATGAGAGACACATCGATCAGCTGCCTCTTGCGCACCCCCTACTGGGGATGTGTCCGCAACCAAGGTACATGCCTTTACCGAAATCCAACCTGGGACCTTTCAGTCCGCAGGCCGATGCTCTATCCACTGAGCCAAACCGGTTTCGGCTAGATATTTATTCTTAATCTACATTCAAGTTTTTTCAATTGTCTCACAATGTCTCTTTATAGGTTTGTTTGAATCAGAACCTTAAGAGTGAATGTTACGTTTGCATTTATGTTGCTTAAATAATTTTTATTCTATAACATCCCCCTCTTCCCTTTAAATGTGATTTGTTGTTGAAAGTGGTTCATTTATCTTGTAATATTTCCCATACTCTTTGGTTGTTGGCTTTCCTTATAGTTTCCTTTAATTCACTGCTTCCCAGCAAACTGTTTTAATAAGCCCCTTCCAGCTGATTCTGATGCTCACGTATGAGAGCCACTTGTCATAACCTATTTTCTGTTTCCTTCAGACTGGTAGTTAGAAACTTCATTAGATTTAGATTCAACTTTTTTTTTTTTTTTAATAAAAATATTCCTTAAATGATGATGTGCACTTCCTATGCATCAGAGTTACATAATGTCTGGTTGTCCCACTGTTAGTGATGCTAAGATTGATTAGTGATTTCAGCCTTATTTTTACTATAAAATTCTCCTTTCACTAATGATTTTACATCTTTTGTTGATTTTTGCCAGAATTCATATCTTGTTAGGAGTTGTGACATGGTGATACCCTGAATCTTTAATAAGAACTTTTCTCTTATTATCTACTTGGTTATTCTTTGCCACAGGAGACAGCATAAAACTGTGATTGTTTTTCTTTGTCATTTTTTCAGAATAGTTTATAATGAGTTGTTTAATGAAGATTTTCATTTTAATAATCATTATCATCATGAATTCCTGGATTTTACTGTATTAATCCATTATAGTCATATTGTCCCATATTTGGCCATTGAAAAATTTCAAATTTTTGATGTGATCTCATTAGCCTTTGATAATGTCTCGCTTCCTTTTGACCTTAATTCATCCCTCTTCCTTTCCTATGGTTTTATTAGCTGGGACTTACTTAAGATTCTGGGTAGTACCATGCTGTGCTGTTTCCCTGTTCTTGGTAGTAGCTTTTTGTTGCGATGATTGCATTTATCCTACATACCCTTCTTTCTCCAGGAAGCCTTTCTGATTTCTTCCAGACTGAGTTAGGTTTCACTGTAATTTCTTCCATAACTTATTTCCTTCTGTGATATTTATCCAGTTATCATTACTTGTCTGCATCTCTCTTCTTTGCTTGAGAGCTGTATTTCGGAGTTAGAACCCTTTGGAACCACCTGATGGGTTGTTTGTGGGGAACAGATATATAAGTTTCTGTCTGGAATAATTTTCCGAGGGAGGATATAATATTGTGGAAGTCCTCTTGAAACACCTTATCAAAAGTAGGAGCCTTCTTTCCTATTTTCTACCAGAGCACACTATTTATATTCTTCATAGCTCTTTTTACAATTTATTTGTTTCCCTGAGAGCATATTGTTGTGCCAGTATACACAATGCCTGAGTATATGCTTAGTAAATATCTGTGGAATGAATATATGAATTATTTTGAGGACAGATAGAGAGAATCAAAAGTTCTATTTTGGACACATGGTCTAGTTTTAATTGCTAATGAAATATCTAGTTGAGAGATAATAAAGTAAATCTGGAGTTCACAGAATTTGGGACTAGGGATAG